GTGACAAACGAACTCAACGATCTCTCGCTTGATGGTGTTAGTGCAACTCCTAACCAGCGGTTGTCAACTGAGCGTGTCATTGAGAAGGCTGAGCATCAAGCCGATCGTTCGCGAAGACACGGGCAGAATGAAGAGGATGTACCCAATTTCCACATGCGGGCAGTACGTAGCCCATCGGCAGAGAGAGGCGAGATAGGCACCACACTTCCCGTAGTTGAGGAGGTCGGAGAATCATCCAGCGTCGGTGGACACAGCAGCCGCAGCGCAACAGACAATGCAGCTGGTGCGAGCGAGCACAACGAGCGAACGTCGTCATTACCATCGCAGTCTGCAGGTACACCCTACCTTGGCCCACCACAACTCCAGGCAAGAGCCAGGTCACAATCAAGAGAAAGGGATCAGTCGCTCGGGAGGGCGCCACCAACGCCACCAAAAGACGCTGGACGTCCTCCCACACCGCCAAAGGATGACTACATGTCCAACAGACATTCTGGCCCCCCAACACCCCCCAAGGAAGACAAGAGCAGAGGAGGCATCCCCCGATCGTCGATAGACAAGGACCTCCCACGAACCCCTCTTGAAACCACGATCCGTGTCAACTAAACAGGAAAACACATCCCAGGCGATCGAACCAGGAGGGATCCGTCTTTTTATCCAATGTAAACATGTCTCTTTTTCTTTTCCTTCAATTTTTTATGTGTGCGTCTTTGTCCATTCTACTCCTGTTAATTCCACCAACCAACCAACCAACCAACCCATTCGAATCAATATCAAAAACTTCTTGTTTACATCTTTTTTTTTTCTCTATGTCGGGAGTTTTTTTTTCTTGGTTTCTTGCATAACCACTCCACACCCAAACAACCCCAAACCTCTGTCTCTCCGTCTCTGTCTTGTGGGTCGTCTTATTGTCAAAGCAACTGGAGGAGTTTTTTTCCTCCTCGTCTTCGCTTTTGTCTTCATCTCCTATGTTCTTTTCCTTTCTTTTTTTGCAAAGCCAACACTCTTATCTTACATCATCCATTTTGTTTTTGTGCGTTTGCGAATGCATGATACCATGAGTTTTGCTCAATCCTCCCTTCGACACCTCCCCCTGTCTTGATTGTTAGATCAGACTGGAGATAGTTGTCCCGCGGGATATCGGATCTGCTTGTCTTTGTCTTTTTTCTTTTCCTTTGTTCGTTTTGTTATGCTGCTGCTGCTGCTACTACTACTGTTTTCCTCTGGGAAGGGGTTGAATCGGTTTGTATAGTGTTGGTTGCTGCTATGCATACGTGTGCGAGAGGGAGAAAGGGAAAGTGGAAGGGAGGGAATTGGGGAAAACTGGTCTTGTTTTCCTTTCCCCCCCCTTTCTTTGTGTTGGAATTTTGGTGTTTTTTCTTTTCCTTCCGATGCGGGTTCTGGAAGTCAAGTCGGCTTTGGCAAAGATTGAATGGCGGCGGCGTAGGAATATGCAAGCGTGTGCGCATGTATATATATATATATATATATATATATATATGTGTGTGTGTGTGTGTGTGTGTGTGTGTGTGTGTTTGTCTGTGGATTTGGGACAGGGCTGGTGGGAATAATAAGTCGTTTTGTGAATTGGAAAGAGAGAGAGAGAGAGAGAGAAAGAAAGAAAGAGAAAGAGAGGACATACTTGGCGGTGCTTGCGAGAAAAAAGGCACACACAGACAGATGGACAGACAGACAGAAAGGGAGAGATCATGGGCTGTAAGCAGTAGCGGCGCATTAACTGGTAGATAGATGGCAAACAAATTCGAATGCATGTATATTTCACATTTCTCTCCCAGTTCAAACATATGTGTTACATGGTCCAGAAACATTTAGGCACAGTTTAAAGTTGATAAATATAACGTTGGATATGTTTACGTCGTCATGCTTGTTGCATTATTCAGAAGATTCAAGACCGTAATGGCCTTAGTCTATCCATCATAGTCTACAATGGTGCTACTACTACTACTACTACTACTGTTCTTCCACCCCCTTCAAACGGCCCCGCTTACTTGTAAAAGTCAAACTTATCCGCTTCTGTCGCTCCCTTGACCTGGCTCGTGTATGCCTCCTCCAAATCGCTCTGAATGATGTTGTATCGGTTCTTGCGTACAGCCCTCAGACCCGCTTCTTGCATAATGGCTGCGATAATGGCACCAGAAAGTGGGTCGTTGCGCACAATCAAGCTGTCGAGATCTACTTCGGGTGACAGGCTCATCTTGCCAGCAATCGTCGAGAAAATCAAACGGCGCTCACGGCGGTCTCGCAGCGAGGGAAACTCAATCTTCCTGTCAAGACGACCAGGTCGGAGAAGCGCGGGATCCAGAGTGTCGGCACGGTTGGTGGCCATGATGACCTTGACGTTGGACGTCTGATCGAAACCGTCCATCTGATTAAGCAACTCGAGGAGAATACGCTGCACTTCTCGGTCGGCACCCGTCTGCGCGTCGAAACGCTTGGTAGCGATGGCGTCAATCTCGTCGATAAAGATGATGGATGGCGAGTTCTCTCGCGCCATTCGGAAGACATCGCGGACCATACGTGGACCCTCACCAAGGTACTTTTGCACAAACTCAGACCCTACCACACGGATGAACGAAGCAGTTGTGCTGTTCGCGACAGCCTTGACCAACATTGTCTTTCCGGTACCAGGGGGACCGTAGAGCAGCACACCACGCGGTGGGTCAATACCAATCTGCTTGTACAGGTCAAAGTGTGTGAGGGGCAGTTCGACGGCTTCCCGGATTTCCTGCTTCTGCATATCCAGACCTCCCACGTCGGCGTATGTCACGTCGGGCTTCTCATCCTGGCCAAGCATGGCAATCGACGAGTCGGCCTCGGGGGGAAGAATGTCAACAAGGGCATTCGAGTGGCGATGGAGGGCGACGGATGAGGATGGCTTTAGTAATTCGCGGTCGAGGGTGGAGAGGATGCGAACGACATAGTTGGAACCAGTCGATGATTGTACGATGCCGGTGCTGTTCATGTCAGTCTCGTGACGCAACCGGTGTATTGTGTGTAGGACTTACTTCTGGTCAATTGCCTCCATGAACTGTCCGATGACCAGTGGCACACTCTGAATGCGTTTGATCTCCTCCTGTGCCCTCACCAGCTCGCGCTTCAGACTCCGCTGCTCATCCTTGATGTATTCTTCCTGAAGGTGGATGTATCTGCGGCTGTTAGCCACTTGCTGTTCAGATATGAGACGCGCACTACGCACTCTAATTGCCGTTGTAGCTTCTTGAAGGTGGAGTAGTCGTCGTTTCCCTCGGTCGAGAAGCCCTCCAAGGCATCGAAGTTTGGTATCGATGACGGGAGCTGCTTCTTGTGCGGCGGGACTGTGTTGGCCGGGTTCTCGACGGCGGCGTCAGCCATGGTGATGGAATTTGAATAGTCTCGGTATAGATGAGGGTTCGGGTTCTAACGGGTTGCTGGTTGGAAGACTGTAGCAACTGGTGATTCGACGTGTTGGGGTATGGGTGAGGCGGTGCTTGTCAGTCGCAATGGTGCTGAAGCTCATGGAAGGCGCGAGCCATCGGGGGTTTGGGGGGGCGCTACCGCCGACATCACGTGAGGGCATGATCTCACAGCGCCCAGTTGCTTCAGACAAGACATATGGCAAGGGGGGAAGGCAAAAGCAACTTTGCGATATATCAGGCTACATATAAGCTGCATGACGCACCCAGAAGTTGCATACAGTAGGATCACGATACATGGACCTGACAGCTTGGGATTGGCGCGCTCGCCGACTGGGTTGGGTTAGGTATGGCAGGTGAATGGTCATGGACCCTTGTCGACTACTACTCAAAGCAGCGAACGACACCAAGGAACGGCATGGCGGGGAGCGACGAGGGGAATGCCGTGTGGGCATCTCTTGTGAAGGAAGGCCACGGTATTCAAGCACGTATAATGCTGGGGCGGCGCGGGCTCCCGAGATTCGAGGCGGCCAGGCCCCAGAGGGAGATTGGCTCGCCGGAGATCAACCGGCGTACTACTAGGTGGGCAGAGGCAATGGGAATTGGCAGCAATGGCCGTGGGACAGTGGGAATTGCAGAGTCGGGGGGCCAGCGGGGCCAAACACCATGGGCCAGGGCATATAAGTCGAGGGGGGCCAGGACAGGCAGAGGGACTCGGTGTGGCGCTCTGCTGGGGGGTCAGACGGTCGGGCTGGGCGATAGTAGTCAAGCGGTCTGGCGGGTGCCCACTCTCGACGCCCAGCGCAAGCGACAAGTGCAGGCACAAGGTGATGTAATAAGTGGAGAGAACGAGCAGATTCCGTGTCACGACGGCCAGAGACGCGGAGAATTCCAATTGAGTTAGGCCTAGGCTTGTGAGCTGCCGGAACGCAGGCACTCGACTGGCCTGTCGTTGTCGCGACGCGCGAACGCGTCTTCCTGCTGGTCGGATGCGAGTGGACACGGCCTGGGAATCTGACGTGCGAGGCTCTGCGGCCGTCGTGTGTCTACCCGTGCTGGTCCTCTGGCCGTCCGGGAGTCGTAGTCGTCGCCTGTCGAAGCCTCTGGCCAGCCTGCCATGCTGGATGAGGCTAGAGGGCTTTGCTTGGCAACAGCGCCCTTCTCGCTCCACGTCCGCTCCTCAGCACCGCATAGTCCGCAAAGCGCGTCTGCGCTACGTGAACATCTCGACTGCCCCCGGAGCCACGCCATTCCGCCTTGCCCTGATGACAAGAGCATTCTAGCGCTACTCTCTCATATTGCCGCACTGTGTGTTTGCTGCTCCCGCTCGCCGCTCTCTGCTGCTGCTGCTGCGTGCCTGTCCGGGGCTGGGCTTTCGTCCATACCCGCTGCTGCTGCTCCCGCCAGCAGAGGCGCGTCGTCCATCTCACCATCAACTTGCTTGCTGACGCCGTGCTCGCCAGGTGCTTCCCAAGCCCACTCACGTGCCTGAACACACACACGCTCCCTCGCCGCTCTCCTCGGCGGACACGCGCCTTTTCACTCGTTCCCGCCGCGACCATCGCCCGTCGGCCCTAGTCGCGCTCCACCATGGACTTCCAGTCTCCCCAGAACACCATGTACGACACCTCGAGCTTCATCGATCCTAGCGCCATCGCAAACCCCCAGATGAATGGCGCGCGCCCCTACAACCCAATGCCCCAAGTTCCTCAGAAGCGAGACTCCACCGGCGCCGCCCTCTCTCTATCCCGCTCACAGACACCCTCCCAGCAGCCCCAATTCGGCTTCCAGCACCAACAGCCATTCGCCAACACGCCCTCGCCCACCATGTCAAGCCAGCACTTTGCGCCCGGCCAGATGGGCGGCCAGCGGATGCAGACTGCCTCGCCCGCGCAAAACCCCCATGCGCCCCAGATGTCGCCCATGGGCTTCCAACCCTCGTCTATGAACCAAGCATTCAACGCAAACTCCGGTAACCAATTCCCCGTTCAATCGGTCCAGCTGTCACAAAATCTGCAGAGTCGCCAGCAGGAGGCGCAGAGGCAGTACGCAATGCGCCTGCAACAGCAGCAGCAGTTGGGCAACCTCGCCGCGAGCAACATGGCTGCGCGACAAGGACAGCAGCCAGGCGCACAGATGCCCGGCGGGATGCAAAACCCCATGCAGCATCCTGGTATGCAGCCAAACATGATGCAAGGTCAAGCACAACAGCCAAACCCCCAGGTCCAATATCAGCAGTTTCTTAAAAACGTTGCAGCGCTATATGCTCAGCAAAATCGGCCGTTTAACCCGCAGCCTCAATGCGCTGGCCGTGTAATTAACTTGCAGAACCTCTACGCTGCCGTCTTGCGCTTCAAAGGCTCTCGATTCGCTACCCAGCAGAATGGCTGGCCACGGATCGCACAGATGATGAACATACACCCACAGCAGTTCCCCAATGCCCCTAACGAGTTGCGCCAGATCTACGAAGCAAACCTGCTCCTCTACGAAACTGCCTACATCCAGCGACAGCAGCAACAGCAGCAAATGCAAATGCAACAACAAAAGGGTATGCCCCCACAAGGGCAAATGGGTCAGATGGCACAGATGGGGCAAATGGGTCAGATGGGTCAGATGGGCCAGATGGGCCAGATGAATCAAATGGCCACCATGGGTCAGCAGATGTCCCCAACAAGACCGACAATGCCAGGACAGCAAAACAATATTGCAGGACATCAGGAGTACCTACAACAGCTGCAAAGATCGCAGGAGTCACTGAAGCAACAACAGCAGCAGCAGCAACAACAACAACAACAACAGCAGCAGCAGCAAGCCCAGCAACAACAACAGCAACAACAAGCCCAGCAACAACAACAGCAACAGCAAGCCCAGCAGCAACAGCAGCAACAGCAAGCTCAGCAACAGCAACAGCAACAACAGCAGCAGCAACAAGCACAGCAAGCACAGCAGCAACAGCAGCAGCGCCAATCGGTCCCACCTACCCAGCAGCCCCATCAACAAATCGACCCAACCGCGCACCTGCCACAATCAACGCCGTTACAAAGCAATGCAGCACCTCCGACCGTCAATGGCAACACACCACAGCCAGATATCAATACGCGGAAGAGCCTCAGCAGACAGTTGGAGGGAACTCCCGTCCCAGGCAAAGAACCCAACCAGGTACAACCTTCTCCAATGAAGCAAGAAGAGAATGCCGCAGTTGCCGATCCAGCTTTGAATGCCATTGAAGGACCTGAGAGGCGGAAACCTGTGATAGAGCAAGATGATGGCACAAGAGTCTACCAACCCGCATGGCGAACTCAAGATACTTGGGGAGGTCTCGACTTTGACTCTGACAACTTCAAGAACATGATCGACACCATCACAAACTACAAGCCAAATGTTCCGATGCTGCCAGAGATGGGCGTGATTGACATCCGAGCGATCACCATGAGTATCAGGTCGGGTTTGCCTGGAGAAGCCCGCTTGGGACTCGACACTCTTACACGGTTGACTTATGACAACACTATACAGTTCAATCTGGCCCACTGCGAAGATTTGACAGAAGTATTGGTGGAGTATGCAGAAGACCTCTTGGAAACATTGGGCAACGACAATCCCGAAGTTACCGACATCATCGATCTCATGTCCTACGAGGATGTCATGCACCACTGCCGCGAAGAAGCTGCCTCGCTACTGGAGATCCCGCAGGTCGGCACAACCGCACACCATCTCAATCGTACCGCTGACCGGCTGCTTGCGATTACCACAATTTTCCGCAATCTATCCTTCCTTGAGGTCAACCATGACTCCCTGGTCAGCCCTTCAGTTCTCAAATTCCTCGCAAACTTCATACGCCTCGTGGGCACGCGAGTTCTGCTTCTCCGCTCACACATGAACACCTTTGAGTTCATGAAAGACATTGTTACTTTCTTCTCCAATACTAGTGCTAAAGTTGTTCTGCCTAGCCGTGAAGATGCATACGCTGTACTGCACTTCCTATGCGCCTTTGCTCCAATGCCACGACCTACCGAACCTGTCAAATTCACGCCCTTTGACCCTCAAATCCACCGCTATCTTCCGTCCGCAGTCGACAGTCTAGCAAAGCTGCTTGCTCGTGATGATCCCAACCGGACATATTACAAGCAGATTTTCATCAATGAGGCGACAGCTACACCAGCGTATGACCTCCAGACACGATCCTTTGCCCTCGCCATCTCGGTCGTGCCTGACCGCAACTACATTGAGAACAAGATGTACCAACTGAAGGACCCGCGTCCTAAGGAGGTGCGCATGTTTGAGGCGCGTATCGCAGAATCACGAAAGGCCTATCTCATGCAAGGCATGCTGGCTGCAGATATCCTCGCCAGTCTAGCCCCAGGACCTGAAACTGGCATCTGCCGTGCATGGCTTGAATCGGAGGACGGCTGGGCACATACGCTCCTCAAATTTGCAATGTCTCTCTCAGCCACTGACGCTGCCATCCCCCACCCTCCCCTGCCACCGAACCACCGCGGCCCACGACCCATGGACCACGACCGAGAAGGTTTCCAACTTATTGTGCACCGTGCGCTATCGACTCTCAAGCGCCTAGGCGACAAGTCAAAGGGCGGCGAGCCTCTGGTCAAGGGCGTGCAGCAAATGAACGGACACATGGACCACGACAGTATGGATGAGGATGAGGACGAGGACGACATGGAGATTTTCAGTTTCAACGGCAGTTCATGGAGGGTGAAAGCCGACATTCTACCCCGCAAGGAGACGCTACTTGGTGCACTGTTGACAGCGCAACTCGACGTTCGCAGTCTAAATCAATTCTGTAAGATTGGATATTTGGACGAGTAAAGGAAAACGAAGGATAAACTTTTATTGGGAAATCTGGGTTGCTCCGGAGGTTTGGGGTGGGGGGCTGGAATAGAGATGCCTTTTGTTTCTAGGAGTATTTTCAAAAGGGCCCGATTTTTTGGGGGGTTTCTGCTTTGCATAGTGTGTATGTGTATGTACGTTTATCCGAGTGTTTTGCGTGTCTTTACGTCTGTGTGTGTATAAGCTTTGAGGGAAGGTGGATGATGTGCGGATACATACACATTTGCATTGGCTTGCATTCTTGAGATTTTCTTTTTCTTCTTATTACTATTCAGTCGTCGTACTATCACAGAGTGTACCTATCTATCTACTTGCTGGTTGCGTTCGTGGAAGGAGCGATGGAGGGGTCTTCTCCTTACGCGTCATTGTAATGTCTTTTCCAGCCACGCACACAAGTCTCTTAGCTCGGCGCCGCTCATGACATGACCCATGTTTTCATACTCTTTGATCGTCGTCTTTTCTTCTTTGATGCCAAGTTCGAAGAGCCTCTCGTAGCATAATCGATGATGCCGTTTAGGGACCAATCTATCGCCTGTTCCCCTCGCTAGGAAGATATTTACTTCATCGTTAACGTCCTTTGGTAATCCGGCATTTTCTCTCAGCGCTGGTATACGCTCGGATAGTGGAAGATAGCCCGATAGCCCGAATAGACCTCCAAGCCTCCCTGAATACTTCGATACAAGCCCAGTCAATAAGGCCATAGCATGGCCCTGGGAGAAGCCGCCCACAATGATCCTCTTCTCCGGCACACCTTGCGCGACAAGGTCATCAATTAAACTCGTAATATAATCTATTGAAGCCATAACCCCTTCCTCATCTTCATCATCCTCGAGTTCCGGGCGTGAAGGTGGGTACGGAGATAGGCGCGTAGGCACGTACCACGCTGTGGATGCAAGATCATGGTTCTCAAGGGCATTGGGAAGGACCCAAGTCATGTGCGGTAGTTTTTGTGCAGATTGGAATTGGCGCGCTATGCTTTCTAGGCCTAATGCATCATCGCCGAAGCCATGGATGAAGATGATGGCGGAGGATTCGGAGGGGCCGCTTGGTGGGATTGCGGGAGGGATGATTATGGGTGGTGTTCTTTCGGGTGGCATCGTCTATTCTTTGAAGAATGGTTCAGATACTATGAGGTGATAGCATATAGGCCAAATTAATGCGATCAGAGTTTAGTTTAGTCCGGATGGTATATGTACCCCACATGGTTATATATGCAGGTACGGATACGATGTGGGTTCCGGCGCATTGACATGTGATGGATTCCCACCTAACCAGCCCCAACTCGCCGCAACGTCACCTTGCCCACCCCCACCGCCCACGATGCCGCACGTCGAGGTGCTCCCAAACTCCGCCACCACGGTCGCGCCGGGATGGACGTACGTCGTAGATACCGGATACGACCCCTCCAAAGTCGCCATCAACCCAAAGAACAAGAAGCGCGCCGCAGCAGCAACGCCTGGCGGTCAACGCGGCGAAAATGAACTCTCAGCACGCCAGCAGACCGCCATAGCCCGACGCATCGCAGAGCTGGAACGCGACAATGATCCCAAACAAGCAATTGCTATCCCCGGGAAGCCTGCCGTGCCCAAGACGCAGAATGCACGCAGAATCATACAGTACCAGCGCCAGATCAAGCACTGGCTCGACGACGAAGAAGCGCAGCTAGGCCTCGTAGCAACCGCATCGCGAGCAACAGCTCAGCCCTCACGGAAACAAAGCATATACGCCTCCGTACCCGCCACACCCATCGAGCCCGTACCCGCGACCCCGGCTATAGCGCAGACCCCTTCGCGCCTTGACGACACAAACGCAGACGACGACGACGCGCTGCTTTCCGTCGATCGCGCCATGCCGGCCCCGCTTAATCCTGAAGAGATGGAGGCTTTGCTGGCTGCGCCCCCGCTTTCATATGCTGCGAGCCATGTTGCGGCGCCTCCGGCGGGTGCGGCGCCGCAGAGGCAGTTTTGCGATAATTGTGGGTATTGGGGGCAGATTAAGTGTCGGAAGTGTGGTGCGAGGGTTTGTGGGTTGGAGTGTAAGGATGCGCATGAGGCTACGAGGTGTTTGAAGTGGGCTTGAAGATAGGAATCAGTTGGAGAGAGGTGTTTGGATCTGCTGAGATCTTGTGATTTGCTCCGGATTCATATTTGCCTTTGACAAACTCATCACTCGATTGGTAGAGCTGCACCGGATTTTCTGGATTCTTTGCCGTCGGTTGTACCTACGACGCTGTATTCCCATCATGGAAAGATGCACTGTTGCACTTGTCCAACCTTGGACCGGATGTGAATACAGCACGCGTAGCGGACGTTTTCATCGGAGGGGTTGAAATCAAATCCATGCAACTGGCCAAATGGTTGGACCTCCGAAATCTACTCGTCTGTGAGGAGCACAGCTATTCTTTCCGAGATGTAGATTATATTCAAACTACCTTGGGTTATCGACACGAATTACCACGGATACCCCGGTCGTAGCTCGGTGTATTGGCTATGCTGGATACTTCGGAAACAGCAACTTCGACATGATCAGATCAGCGAAGAGGAATTGGCCAACATGATCAGACTTCACGGAGCTGATTTGACCGGCTGCAGCTTGAACCTTGGATGTGCGACATGTTGTATACTGCAGTTATCGAGGCGAGTGCAATTTTGCTAGCTACAGGCGAAGGATGAGACTGTTGTCAATGTAGTAGTAAGAGGGGATAGCACTTTAGATCTATAGCCTGAAATATTCTGTTCGATTCATAGTGGCAGAGAATAGTATACTTCTTAATGCTTATCTATGTTTGCATACAAACATGCAAGTCATATCGTTCAGTCTTGATCTCAACCGTGATCCTCGCTACCACATGTACGTTTCACTGTTCAGTTGAGTAGTGCATCATGAGTAAAGCAAACGTCAAATCGACTATCGAGACTCACAGAGCTATCAGATACACACCTACTGCGTCTTGTTCGCAAATGCCTGATTAAGGAGGACTGCATATGTTCCTCTTGTGCAGAGGTGCGTTAAAGATGCGCAGTTCATCGAGTGTCAGCTGGGCACCTACACTGCGCAACTACGCACTCGAGATTATCGTTTAAGGCTTTATTTTCTATCCTCACAGAGTACTTCTACATATCTAAGAGATCGCACCAATATATCTAGGAAGAATCTTTATTCGTAGCGCTTATGCTTTACATTGGTGAACCCGAGCCCACACGCCAAACCAGCTACTTACAACTCCATCTCCGCCATCATCTCTCCGCAAACCAAGCAACACAAACATATTGCTTAACGCGCTTAAACCAAATTAGCATCCCTTCCCTCTTTACCAGCTATTACCGCTGTACAAGAAGAGTGCACAAGCCACACCCCTCGTATCACTTTCCCCAAACACTCCCACATCCCTCCAACCAAACTCTCCCAAAAGTCCAATTATCCATCCCGCCTTACCAAAGAACAACCACATAAACCCAAATACAAACATGCCCAGAAACCTAAAAAAAATACTCATTACGCACAGCTTTGCTGCACGCCCATCACCCCTAGTTCCGCCCTGCCCTGCCCTGCCCTGTTTTACATAACTTTACCCCTCCTATGTCCAACCCCCCTCCAAACAAAAAAAACCCACCCACACCCCGCCATGTCCGTTTTTGCTACTTGCCCCTCAATTCCCTTCTGCCCCTCTGATAGTGCTGCAATCTACAGCCCCCAGTGCCAAAGTTTCCCCTTTGAGTAGTTGCACGTTCTGCGGGGTTCACACAACAATGGTTCCAAGTTGCCAACTTGCACACCTCTCGAAAGTTGCAGTTTTGTCAAAATGGTGACATAGTGAAATTTCTTTATTTCCCCAAAAAAAATATACGCGTTGAAAATTCAAAGTAAATTAACTTGCACTGCATTAACGCATATTTCTCTGCACATACAAAAAAAGTTGTAATCATGTTACCTTGTTTGCTATGCAGCAGCAAAGCAAGGCTGACTGAATGGGAAGAAGAGGTGCATCTGGCAACAAAAAAACAATTACTGTTGTCCCGTGCCAGACTCGAACTGGCGGCCTTGGGATATCTACTAGAGACTAGTAGTCATATTGTGAAGGATATGAGACCCACGTGATAACCAACTACACCAACGAGACGATTCAAGCTATGCTTGAGTTGGGGAGGATTGATGAACGTCGTTTCAAAATGAAAATAAATATCCAAAGCGAAAACAACAGAAAACGACGAATCGCCTTGACGTAGGTAGACGGCGGTCGTGAAGGTGGGGCAACAAGAGCTTGCAAGAAGAGGGGTTGATGGGAGCTAGTATCATGATCTGCAGATTCAAGTCAAAGAGGGAAGTATGTATCGAGGAAATAAACAAAGTTACTTTTGGAGGTATTACAAATTATATCATAGCACATTGACTACATAACTGTATGCAAAAGAAAGAAAAAAAAGAGCCTGATCACAGAGTAACATGCTGTGTTTACAAGAAACGACCTTTTCTTTTGCGCCACTCTGCGATGTTTCAAAAAAACTCCATACTTGATGCAATGAAGGAAGAAAGAAAAAATGCCAATGAGCTGGTCTAGTTTCAGATCTAGGCTCAGAATGTATACTTTGGATTGTCGTAGAACTATGGACCAAGACGTTGTCCCACATCCGGACTCCTGGGGCCCAAGGGGATGCCTGTTGTAGGGAGGACACCGTACCGACCATATGTCTTCTGGTCTACACTGACGTAATGCGGGAGTCGTCCTAATAAGTTGAGTTTTGTTTCGATCCACCGGAGGATCTTCTCGTGTGGGACGAGGAACTTGATGTAGCCGGTTGCCCAGAGGTAACCGAGGCCTGCGCCGCAGAGGTGGCCGACGAGGCTGACGTAGGGGACGAGGATGCTGGTTATGACGATCAGGATGAGGGGGGTTGTCCAGGTGGGGATCTTGTAAGGTCCGACACTACCGTGGGGTTAGTGGATGGGAGGTGGGAGATTAGAGGGGAAGGTACCTGAAGTAGGGATTTGTCTTTTGTGTCTTCATTACTTCGGCCGAGAGGAGGAGGAACACCCATACACTGTATTGTGTTAGTACTACAATATAGCCCGGTATGAATTGATCCACATACCTCGCACCCATGACGGCGGTGTTGCTCCTCAGAACGAACTTCTCTAACAGTGTGTATACGCCTCCGGGTATGGTTCCAAAAGCTGCCATATGGTCAGCGTCAATGCTCGATTATACCATGACTAGTCTTCTTACGCCCAGTGAACAGTGCCAATGTAACAAGTGTTCCGTATTCCGACTCGAAGCGCTCAATCAGTGGCGTGACTGCGAAGAGATTGAAGATCATATGGATGAAGTTCCAGTGTAAGACGGGAAACAGGTTAAGTCGGTGCACTGTACACATATTCTATTAGCATTACATCCAAACTAATCTTCAGACAGGCCGCGCCGTATTCCAACTCTTGTATCTTCGGATGAATAGTCGCACATCAACCCTTCGAGTTCCTAGTTCTCCATCGCAACCGACGGGCTTCCGGAAGCGCCGCAATCCGCCACCAAAGTGCAAGCGACCAAGCCCTACACATTCTCTGCCTGGGAATCGAGAAAAGCACATACTCTGCGTAAAGTTCATCTTGGCAGGTTCCAAGCGCCCAACGTCCCGAATCCAGGGAAATGGAATAGTAGCGATCCATAATCCGACAATGGCGGCGACAACGACCTTTGTGCAGAAGGGCAGGCGCAGGATATAGGAACGTATGCGCGCGGGGTTGAACTGGGGCAGCGAAGGCGCAGGCATGATCGGAGCGCGTTGTTGCTGCTGCTAATGCTACTGCTGCTACTGCGCGGGAAGACGAGCGGACACGAGATAAGTACGAGACTAGGGTCCAGGCCCGCGTTGCACTAGTGTGATCCTCCCGCCGCGCTCGACTGGACCACCTTCCCAGACAGATTGCCTTGGAATGCTGGGCCGCCAGGAGGACACGACTCCTATTCTTTCTTCTGCTTTCTCACACGAGGTGCAGATCAAGGCGCCACCATGGCATTGCTCTGTAAGTGCGGCGATTCGTATCAAATAAGAGGGGTCATTGCTAACAAGCCAAGCATCACTACTGGCGCTCCGGCAAGACAAACGCCTGCTAAAGATACCGCCCTATCTTTCTGCTCTCCTAGTCATTGTCGGCATAGGATGGTTGCTGGTACTTCCACTGAACGAGTACTCGCGAAGGACATATATATCGGAGAATGCGCTGCTTCCGGGACAGGTACATACGTACTTTACTGGCAGTGAACACAACGTCTTCCGCGCCTATCGCCATGAGGTCCACGCCTTGAAAGACAGCCCAGTGCCAGAGTAGGTCAATTCGCCCCGACAGACAGACCAAAGAAGCTGACTGTACCACAGGCGATCCCAGAAGCTCGAGGCCATCTTCCGCGAACAAAACCTCAAGGTTGCGACCCAGCACTACAACTATACCGTCTCGAACCGCACCATCGCAAACGAAAATGTCTATGCCATACTCCAAGGCCCTCGCGCTGACGCTACCGAAGCCATTGTGCTGATCGGAGCTTGGACAAACATGGAAGGCGAGATGAACAACTCGGGCGTCGCATTGGTTCTCACTCTCGCACGCTACTTCAAGCGCTGGAGCCTATGGAGCAAAGACATTATTTTCCTTGTTACTGGAGATAGCACAATTGGATCCCAGGCCTGGGTTGATGCATACCACGAAGGACACGACAAGCAATATGTAGAGAGTTTGAAGATCAAGAGCGGGGCATTACAAGGAGCTGTTGCGGTTGACTATCCCGCTGGTCCATGGGGCCACCGCTACGATAAGCTGCATGTTGTGTACGATGGCATCAATGGGCAGCTTCCCAATCTCGATTTGATCAACACTGCGGTCCAGATTGCATCTGGTCAACTAGGCATTGACTGTGTTATTCAACGCATGTGGAATCACGGCGATTCCTACAAGGAGCGCCTGCAGACGATGCTTCGAGGCATGCTTTCGCAAGGTCTTGGCCACGCAACCGGACCTCACTCCTCATTCATTCCGTACCATGTCGATGCCATTACCCTGGTGACAGTCGGAAATGGCTGGCATGACGAGATGTCGCTTGGAAAGACGATTGAATCGCTGTTCCGCAGCTTGAACAACCTTCTCGAGCATTTCCACCAGAGTTTCTTCTTCTACCTCTTGTTGCAGGATAAGCGGTTCGTTAGTATTGGCACATACCTGCCATCTGCCATGATGATTGCTATCAACTTTAGCATCGCCGCAATGGCACTCTGGGTCAAGAGTGGACGGGTTTCAGAGCCCCTTGAAAATCCCGCAGCTACAAAGCCCAAAGCTACAAAGCCCAAACCAGCTGATTCCAAGTCGAGCTCGGCTGAAAAGGACGCTTCTGGAACGGACAAACTAGATAAGGAAGATCTCGAGAGGGAAGAAAAGGAAGAAAAGGAGGAAACCAAGGAGAAAGAATCCAAGAAGGAAGAACGCGCCACAAAAGTCATCAAAAAAGACGATTCTATCGCCGTCGTCCCCACCGCTGCAACAAAAGTAACAGAACGCCACCTCCTCCCACCCCTGGTCCTCGTCCTCGTCGCCCACGCAGTTGGCCTCGTCCCCCTCTACCTTTTCAGCAACTGGGACGCAGACCACCTCCCTGGCCTCTTCATCACAGCCTGCAACATCACCACCATCCTCCCCATAGGCGCTACTTTCCTCTTCTCCTGGTCCGCTCCCGAGATCCTCAACCCCCAGGCTCTGTGTCTCCTGCAATGCTTTTCTTTGCTACTGCTAGGAATGTTCCTTGCTGCGCTGGCCACGCTGAACTTCTCGCTCAGCGTTATCGTCGGTGTGGCATGTGTCCCGCTTAGTTTTGTGCGCAAGACCACGCATAATGGGGCTACGGCTTTGCAGTTACTGCTTCTTGCGCTTTTGAACCCTTGTTTGATTGTGCAGACGGGGACGAGGCTCATCGATGCGGATTTGATGGAGGTGCTGGTGCAGAGTGCGATTGGGTGGCATGTTTGGGGTATGTGGACGCAGGTTGTGTTTTGGTTGGTTTGGTTCCCCGCGTGGTTGGTGGGTGCGGTTGTTGTTGGAACAGGTATGTGGGATTATTAGAACGATGTATGCTGTTAGGTTCAAAAGGTAGAAGGTGTATTTGTATAGTACGCTGTGACCGAGAAGGTCTAGAGATATCATCACGGAGATGGTGGAATAATCAAAAGATATAGTATTCGTGTCGTGATGAGTCCTTTCATTCGTCAATCGTGTCAGACTACGACGCCGATTATCTATGATTACATAGTGTGAGTCTCCTATACAGCTATGAGGTGTCATGCCTCAACGGATTGGAGACTGCCCTCTTATTTTTTTCCAATAAGGTTCTGGGTGGATGTGACAGGCCAGGGCCATACCCCACTCAAGCAGCCCACACGTCTTTGCCTACACCCTCGATCCAGTTGCCCAGCTGATTGACGCTGGCGTCCCACTCCTTGAGACGTGTCCTCATACCCTCAATCTGCTTCATATCCAGCACCTTTGGTTGTACCCAGTTGATGCGCGCAATCTCCGCCACCTGATCAATCTGACCCTTCAACAAGCCCAAGCTCAGCGCCTTCATGATCAAATGCTCAATCTCGTTGGGCTGTACCTTGGTCTCTTGAGAGATCTCGGAAAACGTCATGGCGCGGTCGTGTGGTGGGCGGCGGAAGACGGTCTCTGTAAGGGCAGAGAGAGAGATCTTCTGGTAGAGGAAGGTCTGGTGCTCTTTGAGAAGCGGGACCTTTGTAATGTTGTTCGAGAGGACATCGTAGGCCATTAAGTCGCCCCGGTTGAAGGCAAACAAAAGATCGCGCAGCCATGCATGTGGGGTATTGACCAGTGAGTCAAGGATAGGATGCAGCAGCAACTCTCCAAAGTTATAGATGGAGTCGGAGACAAGCGCGGCAATGCTGAGATCGTATGCGCGGGACTGGCGCTCGCGGAGTTCGAGATCGTTGAGGTCGACACAGGCGAGGAAAAGCAATGCGTTCTTGTAGTATGCGGCGAACTCATGCTTCGACTTGTAGTACTCGGCGCTTGCACGGTAGAATGAAGCATGGACAACAGTCTCCACTGAGTCGAACTGATCGATTATTTGCTCACACTCATCGAGCTTCTTCTTCGCACCCTCTTCGTCCCGTAACCGTAGCTGTATGCTGGCAGCAGCGACTGTGGCGTATACGTAGGCGTCTTGTGAGGCTGGCTTGTTGACGCTCTTTGCGAGTTCGTTGACAAATGCGAGGCGCTCCTTGTCATCTGCTCAAGTCAGCGCTGGCAATTCATTGGTCCCAGACTGTTTTGACCTACCCTGGTACTGTGATGCTGCGTTCAGGCCCAAGGTGACGAGCTTGAGCTGGTTGATCTTGTTGGCGAATGTCTTGATGAAGTTCTCAAAGAAGGGTATCCTCTGTTTTGCGCTTCCGGAATGATCGAAGAATTCGATAAGCTTATCTGTCAGTTCGTGCCATAGCTTCCGCTCCCAAAAGTCCTCAAAGGCGATGAAGTACTCCTGTAGCTCCTCCGGTGCCTCGTCCCGCGCGTCGCCCAGAAGGTTTGGGATGGCATCTGTATCCATGGCCATGATTGTGGACAGTCTACAGTGATTTGGTAAGGAGAGGCTGTGGTTGACTGATCAAAAGGTAGTGGCTGTGTTGGTGTTGAGGTGGAGCACAAGAGCGGCGTGTATGTTTGAGTGCGGGATGCCGATGCTCTGATGGCGTTGCGGCGGAAGCTATGATTAGCGCATACCGCCAAGCCCCATCACCACCGACGTCCCTTCATCCCAGCTACCTCGCAAGCCGTTCTATTCGACATCTCAGCAGCCATTGAACGTCGCAACCATGCTGCCACTCCGCTGCGCTCGGTCGCCAGTGGCGCTGTCGGTTCAATTGCCCTCCAAGCGCGTAGCCAGCTTCTCCACCTCAGTTTGCCGGCAACAACTCAACTCGGATGTCAGGATCACTAGGTGCGATATACCCCTCTGTTCTACGCGCAAACGGAATACTGATACACGTTTAGGACTGGAAAGCCTATTCTGACTGTTTCTGGTGGACGGTCCTCGCTCGGAGGTGCGCTGCGGTCCTGAGGACGCATTCTAGACGATCCGCTCACACATATTCAGGATACACCGCGACTGTCTTTGGAGCCACTGGCTTCCTTGGACGATACATTGTGAACAGACTGGGTATGCCATGATGCCTGCAGACGGAAACCGAGGAGCCATGTCGCGCTAACTAGAAGGAATAGCTCGTTCAGGATGCACGGTGATAGTGCCTTTCCGAGAGGAAATGGCAAAGCGCCATTTGAAGGTTGCTGGAGATCTGGGCAGGGTCGTCTTCCTGGAAATGGATCTTCGAAACACTCAGTCGATTGAGGAGAGCGTGCGACACTCTGACATTGTCTACAACCTTATTGGCCGTGACTACCCCACCAAGAACTTCGACCTCGAAGATGTGCACGTTCACGGAACAGAACGCATCGCGGATGCCGTTGCCAAGTACGACATTGACCGATTTGTTCATGTCTCTTCGCACAGCGCCCGCCTCGACTCGCCATCAGAGTTCTACCGCACCAAGGCCAGGGGTGAGCAGGTAGCCCGGTCCATCTACCCAGAGACGACCATTGTCCGACCCGCACCCATGTTTGGTTTCGAGGATCGTCTTCTTCACCGTCTTGCTTCCCCCACCAACATCATCACGTCGAACAACCTGGAGGAGCGTCTCCGCCCGGTTCACGTCATTGATGTTGGTATGGCTCTTGAGCGCATGCTGCACGACGACACAACTGCTGCCGAGACATACGAACTCTATGGCCCTACCGAGTACTCGATGGCCGAGATCAACGAGCTCGTAGAGAAGGAGGCGATGAAGCCGCGCCGCCACGTCAACGTGCCCAAGAAGATTCTCAAGCCCATTGCGCACTATGCGAACAAGCTGCTCTGGTGGCCCATCCACTCTGCGGACGAGGTTGAGCGCGAGTTCATCGACCAGGAGATTGACAAGAGCGCCAAGACGTTCAAGGACCTGGAGATTGAGCCGGTGGAGCTTAAGAGCATGACGTTCGAGTACCTCAAGGGCTACCGAAGCTCGAGTTACTACGATCTGCCGCCGATGAGCGAGAAGGAGAAGCGGGAGGAGAAGAAGTATCTGCATGTCATTGACGACCAATAGTGGGGCAAGCTTTGCTTTGTAAATATTTGAGCGTATGCATTGCCCTGCAGTCAGTAGAAGCCAGGGATGGCTGTTTCACTTTGTGTGCAATGGAAATTTGTCAAAAAGCCAAAATGAAATGGATAATCAGTGTTGATTTGAGTGGGGTATCATATGCTTTGTTTGTTTGTCTGTTTATTTGTTTCTTTGGCCTAATCACTATCATGCTTGTTCCCGCTGCGACGTAGACTCTGTCCTCTTGTCTTTGGCCAAGTTCTCAAGGTACTTTCTCAGCAACGCTTCGGTGCTATCGGGATCGTCTCTCTCTGTGCCTTCATTCCAGTGACGATAAAACTCCAGCGCAACTTCTACAGCGATGAGAGCGATAATGGCCCATTCGAGTCGCAAACCGTGTTTCTCGCTCAACTGCTCGCGCAAGACACTGGCGATTTCCTGGGCGAATCCGATTTTCTCGTTGAGTACCTTGATGCGGACGCCTACGTCGAGGGCGCGGCCGACTTGGTCGTAGTATTCGCCTAGACCCAGCTCGTGGCGTGAGTCCCAGAAGATGTCGGGCATGGAGTCGGTTAGTTCAGAGTAGAGATTTAGCTGAGCGCGCAGAGAGAGTAGCTCGCCTGTCTTGCGTAGGATGAAGGAGCGGGTGAAGGGGGCGCTGCGGCGAGGGGAGAAGGTCTTGGATGAGGCGAGCATGGTGGGGATGTCGCGAGTCGAGTGCTGGTATGCTGACAAGAGGGTTTCGAGGACGGCGAGCTTAGTGCTGCGGGCGAGACCGGAAGAGAAGGCGATTTTGGCGAGGATGGTGTCGACTTCGTGGCGCTGTTGGTCAAGCTCGTCTGCTCCTGACAGCGAACCGTTGTCAGAGGGGGGCTCGGCTTTTGTGCCCAGGACAATAGTGTCGCCGACTACTTCGCTGGTTTCTTTGCTAGGGTCTTCGAGGTACTCGAGGTCTTCTGTTTCGAGCATGTCAAGATGCGATCCTTCGGCTGCGGCGGGGAGCACTTGGTTGACGAGTCGCAGGGCCTCTCGTTCGCGGACATTCCATGTTACGACTGTGCCGGACGGGAAGATGAAGATGTCGCCTTGCTGGAAATCCTTAAACTCAGAAGGGCGGTCGGAAGTCTGCACGTGAATGACTTGGGGATACAGGCCCGTCTGGAAGGGATCGAGGTCGTAGCCTTGGGCCTTGACGAGGCGAGCGGCGGCAGAGATGTCGTATGTCTCTGCAGCACAGTAGGCAGTCACAGTCTTGGTCTGAGCATCTGGATCAATGAAGCGCGTCCTTCCTCTAGATTTTATAAAAGCTCGTGACCGCTGTGCTTCGACTGCCACACTGCGCAGCGACGATGTTTTTCCGGCATTTTTTCGACTGGTCTTGCGGTCTGGCTTGTCTTGGTATTCTTTGGGCAATTCCTCTTTGCTTGCTGCATCTTCACTCTTTTGCGCAGCGTCTATCCTTTTGCTACATGGTATCGTCGAAGAAAACGGCCTTTTTGCGGGAATGGGCGAGAATTGCAGCGTGGGCCGGGCTTTACGTGGCAGACGGGCAGTGGGAGCAAGACATCGTGTCAGGCTCTGGAAGTAGCAGGGTCGGATGCTCGTCATGGCCAGCGCAGGAGCGTGTCGGACATGGCTTGCAGCAGGTCAGCGCCTAGGCAAGACTCAGCATCCCACGTCGACATTAATGTACCCAGCAGAAAGGTGGGTGGAGTAGTGCGGAGGAGAAGCATAGACCCTTGCAAGTCCGCGGGAATCGGCTTGGCCAGCATCATAGGCTCAGATCGACAGGGCCATTGTCAACCTCGCATCTCTCCACACTCGGCGCGCCCGGAGCGTCTTCTACGCCTCTTGTCCGCCTGTCGCAGCTCATGTCGCCAGCATGGCGGCGGAAAATATCGACGACGCTCCGCTGCCCAAGGCGCGCGACGACGCCCGCCTGCAAAAGGCCCAGCAGACTATCGAGCCGGACTCGGACGACGACGAAGACGACGAAGACACGGCCGACGACGATGTCGACGAGGAGCCCAAGCTCAAGTACAGTCGCCTCACCAGAGACTTGGGCCCTATATACCGCAATGGTGACGCGACGGCCACCTTCATGGTCGCTGGAGACAAGATGGTACGGTCATAGCTCCCAGCTTTCCCTCTGGTACATGTGTAGAGCATGTTTGGATTGGATTGCATCTTGCGGGCCATATGCTAACACTGTATGTCCATGTAGATTATAGGTACCCACAATGGAAACATCGTAAGTCCCTGTCCTAGCCCAGCCCTTGTCGCGCCGCCATGCTGACCCAAATAGCACGCGTTGAACTTACCTGCCTTCAACATCCTGCGCACCTACAATGCCCACCCTGCCGCCTCGGTCACCGCTCTCTCTGTATCGCCACTGCTTGCCTCCCAGCCCTTTGTGCCCTCCGCCTCGGACCTGAGGTCTGCCGACCAGGCAAATGCTTCCTCTCGACGAACCGACTCGCCAGCAGGTAACACTTCGTCTCCTCGCGCACCGCGCCAAGCCCAAGTCCCGCCTACGCCCTCGAACCAGATATATATTGCTTCCTCGTCTATAGACGGACATGTCTGTGTGTCTTCACTCGTTGACCCAAAGGATGTTACGCTACGCAATTTCGGCCGCCCAGTGCAAGCCGTAGCTCTCTCGCCTGACTACAAAAACGACCGCTCGTACTTGTCTGGTGGACTGGCTGGTGAGTTGATCCACACCGTTGGTGGACCCATAGGCGTGCGATCCAACGCCAACACCAGCGCGGCATCGCAGGCTGCACATGGGTGGCTCGGCGCAATAGGTCTCGGTGGGCATGGAGGCAGAGACACCATTTTGCATTCGGGTGAAGGCACCATCACCGCCATAAAGTGGTCTCTGTCTGGCAAGTTTGTAGCCTGGGCAAATGAACACGGCGTGCGCCTAATGCGAACGGACCTGCACCTGGACAGCGCAGATTCAGACGATGCCTGGAAGAGAATCGGCATCATCGAAAAACCAAATCGCCGCGTATGGCAAGACATGGCCAGCGTATGGAAACCGCGAATAGAATGGATTGACGACCAGTCGCTCGAGTCTGATGACGATGCTATCATGAGTATGAATGGACACCACCTTGTGGATAAGGCCGATGCTACACTACCGCACAACCGATCTTCCCAACCTACCAAGGAAGGGAACAAGAAGAACATGGAAAAGCTCATCATAGGATGGGGAGACACTGCTTGGATCGTTCACGTGCGCCCTGGTGGATCTGGTGTTGGCCGCAATGTGGGTGAGAGATCGGTTGGAACCGCCGATGTCATCCGCTGGTATGCTACCCTCACATATCGATATCTATACATTTCTAACAATCTCCTAGCATTCATTTCGACGACTGTATTGTTTCTGGCATTTCGCTTTATACCCCTTCTTTACTTCTTGTTCTTGCATACCGGACACGCGACGATGATGACAACCCCGTATCCGGCCCGGATACTACTCCCCGCGGAGGAAGACAGCGTCGCACAAACGGTCTCTCTCCAGAACTCAAACTCATAGATGCTGCAACCTCTGATGAGGTTGAAGTTGACTCTTTAACCGTCAGTAGATATGAAAGCCTTTCAGCTGCTGATTACCACTTGGGCACCCTCTACGTCCCACATCCGAAGACGATGACTCCTGCGCAAAGAAGCGCATTGGAGGCTATCGGTGGAGGAATATGGGATGTTGGCGCGAGTGCAGCACGTATATTTAGTTCTGGAGCCAGTGTTATGAACCTTCAAATCGGCTCTGACAAGCCGCCATCGAGAGCGCCATCCATGTCTTCGGCCAGTGCTGGAAACATTTCTGGTTCAACACCTACTAAGCGCCAACAACCGGTACATCCAAATGCTGCCAGCGCAGGTCTAAAGGTTTTCATACAAAGTCCATATGACTGTGTATTGGCTATTAAGCGAGAGCTTTCCGATCATTTCCAGTGGGAGCTGGAACATGAAAACTATAAAGATGCATGGGAGCTTTTAGAGGATCATCCTGAGATTATCTCGTCAGTCGTACAGATACCATCAGACGCCTCTGATACTGGTACGCCAGTAAACAAGCAAGGAAGCTTGCACGAGTTCTTCGCCGATGACGATTCTCAAACAACACTGTCTGCCACAAGGGCTAATCAGAACTCGGCGGTAGAGAAAGAGAAGCGCAGAATCGGAGATTTATGGGTACAACAGCTCGTCAGTGCGGGCGACTGGAAACAAGCAGGCAAGGTGGCGGGACGTGTACTCGGGACTTCCGCGCGATGGGAACACTGGGTGTGGAAATTCGCCCAGACGAATCATTTCAACGAGATTTCGCCGTACGTCCCCAAGAAACCGATACAACCACCACTACCTTCCATGGTGTATGAAGTGATCCTTGGGCACTACATCATTCACGACCGCATACGCTTCAAGCATCTGCTCGAAGATTGGGATCCTGATCTGTTTGACATTAATAGTGTCATCGAGGCTATCAAGAGTAAACTCTCTGCTGGCGATGTCACTGAAGAGTCTATCGAAGGAGATGTGCAAGGGAGAGATTGGCGAATATTGCAAGACGGCTTGGCGAAGTTGTTCCTGGCAAGTGGTCGGCAGAGAGAGGCACTGCGTTGCTATATCCGCCTGCAGAATTCAGAGGCAGCCATGACCCTCATACGCGACTTTCATCTTGTGGAAGCTGTCCGTGATGATATCCCTGGATTCATTATGATGGGTGTCTCTAAAGAGCTGATGAAGTCAGCATCAACAAAACTGGAGGAGTTGGAAGAGGCATCGGCAGAAGCTATCAATGTCCTTGTCGAGGAGGGTTGCCGAGGCACCATTCCAGCAAGTGATGTCGAGAGTCAACTGCAGGCCAAGGGACCGTCGTTCAGGCCCTTTTTACACTTCTATCTGCGGAAGCTTTGGAAGCCGGAGATGCATGAGCGCACTGCTAAGACAGCCAAAGAACGAGTAGCTGAAGATCGTTTGGTAGCCGATGGCAAGCTTGTTGCTGAAGAGTTTGCAGACCTCATGGTTGAGCTGTTTGCAGAGTATGACCGACCGCTGCTGATGGAGTACCTCCGCAAATCCCAGAGCTACGATCTGAGCAAGGCAACTGCAGAATGCGAGAGGAGAGAGTATATTCCAGAACTTGTGTAAGTACTCATCATTTCCGCTACCACAATTGGCTACTGACCCCAACCAGACATATCCTCTCCAAGACGGGCCAAACGAAGCGTGCTCTCTACCTCATCATTGAGAAACTCTCCGATGTCAGCTTCGCTATTTCTTTCGCCAAGGAACAGGACGACCCTGATCTCTGGAACGATCTGCTGGAATACTCCATGGACAAGCCGCATTTTATCCGCGGTCTTCTCGAAGAAGTCGGTACTGCAATTGATCCTATCAAGCTCGTACGCCGCATCCCCGAAGGTCTTGAGATCGAAGGCCTACGAGATGGCATTGGCCGTATGGTCCGCGAGTACGAAATTCAATATTCCATCTCCGAAGGTGTCGCACGAGTGCTGCGTGGTGAAGTAGCAGCGGGCATGGACACATTGCGCTCTGGCCAGAAACGCGGTGTCAAATTCGAAGTTGTTCCTTGCGATGGCGGCCTCTCCGGAAAACAAGCAAAGCACCACCACGCCAAGGGGCAAATCGATATCGAGACTAAAGGCATGGATCCCGCGACTGCCGCAAAACTCACGGCTAAAGCAGACAAATCAACAAAAGCCGTGAACACAGTTAATGCACTGAACATTGATCCTACTCCACCCGGCCCACCAGAAGGCGACGCTCCGCCCGGACACTGTGTCGGCTGCCACCGTCCCTTTACTCTCCCCACTGCCGAAGAAGAATCCGCCATCAGCGATGGAACCACTCCGTTGCCACCCTCTCGCGACACACTTGTCGGCTTCGCATGCGGTCACGTCTTCCACCTCGCATGTCTTCTACCAAAGACAAACGCAAGCGAAAGCGTCGCAGCGGGACTACAGCAGCAGCTTGCAAACGACGCCCAAGAGAGCGGCGGCAGATGGACACGCAGTGTAGGTGCGAAGGTGGCACATGCGCATGTTATCAAGAAGGCGGTGGGTAGGGGGTGTGTTGTTTGCAGGGAAAGGGAAGTTGTGGGTACGGAGTAATAGAAGTGCGAATGAGTTGGATGGGATAAGAGAGGGAAGATGGGCAGGTGTATATACGAGGTAGTAGTTTTATGCAGATCATGTACTTGAGTCTAGGATATGTTGTCTGATATACCCAGTAGTGTGTATGTGTATGCAAGAATGAGAGAATGAGGTGGTACATTCATAAATATTGCTATAATATAAGATACATCGAAAGTGCTATATCTAGCTCTTGTTTACCTCTTCTTTTCCGACTAGGAATGTACTTAGGTTTTGAAGATGCTTTTCTCTTTATGAGTAATGTTTCCAAGTATGAATATCGCCCATTGCACAAATGGAAACATCGAGCATCACGTTTCACGTATGATTTGAATTAGAAAAGAAAAAGGATATGAAATATTCAACATGTTAGTAGATGTATAGAGAGATTTGTTCTATTTACTTGGATGGTCCGAGATGCGTGATATAGTATAAATAACAATAAAGAAGATCGAAATTACCTACTATTACCACCACTCAGTCAGTTTGCATTCGACAAACTCCTATTTCAAAGAGTTACAACCACCCCATCTATGTTCCTTAATTCCCCCACAAACCTCTCCTCTACAGCCACCGCATCAAGCGCAAAACACGTCGAATACGGCCTCTCAAGCTCCAGCCTCACACCAGGCCGCTTCTCCACAAACCCACGACAAACCTCCAACCACGTAAACCCCTCCATATGCTCCGCATCCGCATACTCGTCGTCCGACCCATCCATAAGCCGAATCCCACTCAGCACCACTCTCTCCAGACTCGGCCACGGCCCCGTAAGTGCATTTGCCAAATCCTGTTTCTGCAGCGCAAACCCACGCAGCCTTAGCACCTTGAGTTGGTTAAGCTCGAGATACGGGAGCAGCAAGGGAAGAACCGACGCAGTGTGATTTGTATAGTCTAGATCTGAGAAGTTCGTTTGAGATGATGTATCCAGGTCGTCGACGAGCTCGAGGTGTTGGAGCTGCAACATTTTGTTTATCATGAGTTTCCAGAACCAGAATGCGTTGAAGGTGGTACTGCTGTTTGCGGGGGAGAAGTGGCCATGGGTACCGGGTGTGCCGCGGACGCTGAGGGTGAGGCGTGTGAGGGTGGCTAGGTTGGGAAACTCGTCTTCGGGGTACATGTAGCCGCGTCTGAGGATTTCGCTGACGGTGCCATTTGGGGAGTAGTTGTCTATACTGGCGAGGGAGAGCTGGAGAGTTTGGACGTGTGATGGAGCTTTTCTAACGATGATGGCACTGGCCCAGGCGAGATTTACGGTTCGGTCTTCTATGAAGCGGGGGGTTTCTTGCTCAACAACGGATTTGCCGGTTTGCTGGATAAAGGTGTGAGTGCAGGTTGACTGGGGGTGGTCGACTCGTTCGCAGCATGCGACGGAGATGGATGTGAGGTTTTTGAAGTAACCGAATATTCGGGCGAAACTCCATTCAGCGCTATGTACGAGTGGGCGCCAGCGCCAGAGTTGGCAGAATGGTTCTACCATTGCTTCATGGTATCTTAGCCAGTACTCTCGTTGCTCGTCCGTCAACTCCGTAGTAGGTGAACCATCATACTGTGGATATAGACGTTGTCGAGTGGCTCCTTCAGGAGTATAAGATATTCCCATTCTCATATCATCAGTTCGGATAGCTGGCGGAACCTATGTTAGTTAGTAAACTTTGCTTTTGATTCCAGGCAGGTTGCTTGTACCTGGACAACAATATGCGTCACAAAATCGAGTAGGTGGGCATTCTGCTTAGTGGTTGCAAAGCGCTCTAGATTACACGATGCTCCTGGCAAAATATGTGTCAACGTCATATCCCTGAATAGGTATTCTGTCGCCCATTCCCTCAAGCATGAATGCGCCAGGCTAGCATTTTGGAGGTCTAGTTTACATCCTGGCTTCATCTCTTCAACACATGTTGGAGCGAGATACGAAACTACTTGTTTCATTAGCTCCGAAGGCAGCGCGTCAATAGTACGCCAACGTCTCATTTGAGCTCTCTTCTGCAGCACCGTGTCCATTACAGTGGCTTCGAGCATCTCACAGGTCCAGTAGTAGCAAATGTGACCTTTTTGTGACTTCCCTGTAGCCTGGAAGTGAAGTTAAATAATTGGCCAGGAGGAAAACCCAGCGAACTGGAGGACAGCATTTTATGAGAATTTGCCAATTGGTTGCCTAAAAGGTGTTGCTATAGTGAAGAGGCAACCATCCCTGTCGTTACCCACAGCAAGAAACCGCCTCGGCTAACCGCGGTCCATGGCAATGAAGTCACCAAACCGCAACCCAGCTGATGCCGTAGCCGTGACTTTGGACTAGATCGCTATAGCTTTGATGTAACCCATTACAACACCCAAACTAACCCACCTACCTTCCTGTCTACCGCTCAAAATGCCATTCCTTCGCCCCGCGCCCCGCATCATATACCGCGCCATCCAAACCCGCACGTTCGCAACTGCACAAACCCCAGCCATCAATGTCAAAAACATTCCCGCGCCCCATTGCGGAAGCATACGAATTCTCTCTTTGAATCGACCCGCAGCGCGCAATGCGATTTCCAGGCAATTACTCGCAGAGCTGAGCCATCAGGTCAATAGCATCCATGACGAGGGAGACAATGGGCCAACGCGGGCGTTGATCCTGGCCAGCGATGTCGACTCGAGTTTCTGCGCCGGCGCAGACTTGAAAGAACGAGCTACATTTACTCAGGAAGAGTATATCCTATCTCCGCCTCAAAGTATGCTAACAATTGCTAACGAGTAGCTACAGGACAGCAAACTTCCTCGCGTCGCTACGAGGAACATTCACATCGATTTCGCAATTGCCTATTCCTACTATTTCCGCTCTTGCAGCACCGGCGTTTGGCGGCGGTCTTGAATTAGCACTTACGACACATATGCGCATCTTTGGTTCTACGACTACGGTCGCCCTGCCTGAAACCCGTCTTGCGATCCTACCGGGCGCAGGAGGAACTTACCGCCTCCCTGCAGTCATCGGTCTCTCGCGCGCCCGCGATATGATTCTGACTGGACGACGAGTTGCGGCACCTGAAGCTTATTTCCTGGGGCTATGCGACCGGTTGGTGGAGATTACCCCAGAGGTTGCGAAAGAGGAAGGGGCTGCAAGGAAGAAGGTCCTGGAAGAGGCGATCAACCTGGCAATGAACATTTGCGAGGGCGGACCAATTGCTATCAGGGCTGCGCTGGCGGCTGTCGAGGGATGTGCGCTGGGCGAGAAGGCTGAGAATGCTGCGTACGAGCGTGTGGTCAGGACCAAGGATCGCGATGAGGCTCTTCTTGCTTTCAGAGAGAAGCGGAAACCTGTGTTCAAGGGCGAGTAAAACTTAAGACATATTTTCCAAAAGATGCTTGTTCAATTGGTCATGTTTTCTGTTTCTGATGAATTATTCTATTCATTACATCGAATTCTCTCTACATCTTGCTCTTGATCTCATCCAACAACTTGGCCAACTCAGTCTTATCCGCTGGCTTCGTCGGCCACCCAACAGTCAGTCCCTCCTCCACATTCGGCTTGGGAATCAAATGGAAATGCACATGGTCTACCTCCTGATGCGCAATGCGACCATTGTTCTGTAGAATATTGTAGTCCTTGAGATCCTGTGCAACAGCAATGCGCTTGGTGACGGCGAGGATTTCAGAGAGCTGGTCGTCGGGTATATCGTGGAGCTTTGCGCCGTGGTGCTTGGGGATGATGAGCTAAGGTGAGGCCGTATGTTAGTTTGTGTTTATCAACTCTCAAGAAAAGAGGAAAGCAAGTTTGGAAAGAGGCTTACGCTGTGTCCCTTGCTCAATGGGCCAATGTCGAGGAATGCAAGTGTCTTGTCGCTCTCGAAGATCTTCATCGAAGGGATCTCGCCTATAGGAGCTCGTTAGTATGTCACAATGCACTAGTGGGAATTGAGACCTACCCTTGATGATCTTGCAAAAAATGCATGCAGCAGAAGACATTGCGGTACTCGTGAATTGCGATGTTGGTTGGTTAGTGCGTGGGTTGGTACGGGGAGTTCTGGATGACGGCGCAGGGCTGAGCTCCCGGGCGAAGTGGGGTTGACCGAGGGGCAAGTGGCGGGGTAGCTCTTTGGTCGGCCGAGTTCGCCTTGCTTGCGCAATATATCACCAGGTTTTGACAAAAGCTTATTACTTGGTAATAGTACATTGTGTGTCGGTATAGTCGTCTGATATTCTAGCTAAGGTTTGGGATTACGCCAACTTTGCATGTCATGATGACTTCCACTTCCATGCTTCGCATTCAAAGTTGGAATAGCACCTGAACTCGTTGCTCAAACCTTTCGCGTGTATAATCTCATAGTCTGTAGTCTTCAATCCTACTTTGCCGTAGAGTTTCTCGGTGACCAAACTCTCCATGCGCTCTCCAGTGCAGACAATAAGACGAAGCGAGTCTTGTGACCATGACTTGGCCAGCCATCGTACAGTCAGAGCGGCTATATCATGTTAACGGGGTTATGCGCTGACTTTTTAGGAAATGTGAAAATTCACCTTTAGTCTGGCAGTCTTGACTCAGAAATGGCGGGTCGCAAATGATAGCATCGAACGAGCCTTTGAGTTCAGGCGGTAGCTGGATCGCTTTCTCAAAGTCGTATGGGACAAACTCTTTGAAGACCGCAAAGCGTTCGTCGAATTCGAGAAGTTTGATCTGCGGCCGACATGGGACTTCACCTGAGTTCTGTGCAATCATCAATACAGCGCGGGGGTTTTTTTTTCAGGTTGTTCGTCAAACACAACTTACGATCAAATTCTTTAGCTGTATAAAAGCGCTGGGCGCTGATACAACTGCGATTCTCGTCCCATCGGTAGCGCCATCCAGAAGTTGCTTCGCAAGGACCGTGGCAGTCTCGTCACTGTACCAGAACTGACTTGCGTTCCAATCTTCTGTGAATACATCCATGGACAGTTTTCCATCAAAGTCATCTTCCGCCTTGGCTTTCAGATCTTCAAACTGCTTTGCGCGTTCATCCCGCTCGCCGTAAAATTGTTGAAGCGCTGCTAGGGCGTCGCCCGAAAGCTGTCTTGTTTGCTTAGTATGTACGTCATCATCTACGACAAGAATACTCACGGAATATCGTCGTCGTCTTCAATCATCGGTACCATACTAATCCCTTGTTGTCAAACTGCAGCGGCAAATAATTGCATGTGGATCTGAATAGTCGCAAACACCTGAACTCACCCCACTCCCGATAAGCGAGCCTCGGTAAGTGTGCTTGACCCGACACCTGAGGTATGGAATGACCATGTTACGCCAGCGACTTACACATTTCAGTTCACTTAGACTATATTCAAAGATGGTCGACGCACTAGTACCTTTGCCTGAGATCGAGAAGTTGAGCGATCGGGTGATTAGAGTGCTTGGTGGTAACCCGGGCAAGGTAAGCGGCGTCGCATCGCAAGGTAATAACATACACTGACAAACTTCAAGTTCACTTTGCAAGGTTTGCGCATCTCGTTTCATTTCGGAATTCATATTGATCAGTACAGGTACCAACACTTATGTCGTCGGTCAAGGTGCATCGCGACTCCTCATCGATACGGGCGAAGGCAGACCCCAGTGGATAGCGTCCATCAAGTCGCTGCTCTCAAAGGAGAACATCGCAATCGAAAAGGTACTCTTGACACACTGGCATCCTGATCATATCCAAGGAGTCCCTGATCTCCTCGAGCACGCTCCTAACACCAAGGTCTACAAAAAAGATCCACACCAAGACTGGCTCCCTATAGCCGATGGACAGAAGTTTGAGACTGAGGGCGCGACGTTGCGTGCATGCTACTGTCCTGGACACACCACCGACCACATGGCCTTTGTGTTGGAGGAAGAAGACTCCATGTTCACGGCCGACAATGTGCTGGGGCAGGGCACAGCGGTCTTCGAGGATCTAGCAACATACATGAACAGTCTCGAGGCCATGTCAAAGCAGTTTGGCGGTCGCGCATACCCCGGTCACGGCCCTGTTATCGACAATGGCCCAGCAAAAATCAAAGAGTACATTGGTCATCGCAAGCAGCGTGAGCAGCAGGTCTTGGATGTGCTGGCTGCGGATGAGGGTGGGTTGGGGTTGTCGTCGATGGGCATTGTCAAGGTGATATACAAGGATTATCCAGAAAGCCTCTGGGAGCCGGCGGAGAGGGGCATACTGCAGATCTTGAACAAGTTGAAGCAGGAAGGAAAGGTTACTGGTGATAAGACTTGGTCGTTGAGTGGAAAGTCTAGTCTCTAATCAATCAATACAAAGTTTGTGGATCGAAAGCTCCTGTTAGGCGCCCTGCGAAGTGGGGTGGGATGTGCCCCGCCAACCAGTGCTACCCTTGTGCAGCTACTCCTGAGTGTACAATACTGATATAAACGATCAAATTTCCCAGACTTCTATCGAATCATCTGACATTGTGCCAGAGTGGTTAATGGGTTAGACTTGAATTACTCATTCATGTCATCTAATGGCTTCGGCCTCGCAAGTTCGAATCTTGTCAATGTCGCATAACCATATCGTACAATGCCCCCAGCGGGGGTGTTTTTCTTTTTGCCTTTTTTGCTCGTGTCTTGCTTTCTTTGCTGTATCTACGGAAAGGAAGTAGATGGTACTTGGATTATTTTTTGCCTTCCAACTAACGGGAAATAACTACAAGCTGTGCAGCGAACAACTTTGCTCTAACAAAGTCAATAGGGTAGTGACATCTTCCGAAGCAGCAATCATTTTGGCATTTTTGAGAATTGCGAAAGCTCTGTACGCGAATTTTAGATACTGTTGTAGACGTCGACCATGCCCATGAGAAGACTAGCACATGATCGCTGTAGATCTAAACAAACATGGTTAATTCTTGGCCCAAAGCAACTGGTTCTCTAGCATTCCCCGTGCAGCTGACCCAATCATCTGAGGGTAGTTTTATTGACAGAATATGATTCGAAGACATCGAACAATGTCAAATCATATTTGGCGATTGCCTATCACAAATTGTGTTGGGTGTTATGAGTGAGCTAGTATATTTGAAGCCGCATAAATGAATTACTAGTCAACCTCACTTGAGTTTTCTGAGACGTACCTTTGAAATTGGGCCCAAAAACTGTGGTAAAGGGTGTGCATTTGACTGATACTCTTTTTCTTCTACAGGATAGCCCTTTTCCTACTTCGACTTCATTTTCAGTGGCTAACTATTTGAGGGATCTAGCAATTGATTTGGATGTAGGTGCACATGTTCCCAATGCCTTCTCTACCTTGCGAAGTCAACTACTGTTCCTGGATCGCGATCTCCATGGAGACCACGTAGCCTAGCATAGCAAAAGTCACGGACAGACCGCTCCGAGATCAAGACTGGAGTCACATGGCTTTGAAAAATGCCATAGGTGTGGAGAAAACCCATGATCGTTCCACTTTGTGGCATCCTTGGCAATGTAAGGTTTGCTTTGAGCAGAGTGGTGTGATGTATACTGATACACCTACACAGGTTGCGAAGTATCCATACTAGACAGTGCTTTATAGGTTAAAAGCCGGAGATAGAAGAAGGTCATTTTTGGGCTTATGGAGTGAACTCTTAGTCATTATTCTACTATAACTAGTTGACATGCACATACTAGAATCAACTTTACTTACTCTGTATATGACAGCGGTTCGAGTTACTTCGCGACGATAGTGTCCCACTCCGCGGCCCACTGGTCGGGGAGACTTGCCATCTCTACCGTACATGGCTTAGCGCAGCGCTCGATATGCATCCATCTGAACCCTAGCCAGCAATTTTCGCCGTGACCTCCACTCTGGCCGGCAACATTTCCCCCAAGACGAATAAGTTAGAAAAGAATCCTATCCTACTGGACATACGCACAGCGCGGAACGAGGCGAACCTTATTCTGGGGTTGTGGGGTAACGGGTGAGGCGTTATGCTCGTCATCTGGGGATTCTGGGTACTTCTACTGGTCTCAGGGGCATCTGTAGACGTGGGAACAAGCACACCAAGGTGGCAGAAGCACCATGCGGCGTTACAAAAACGAGCAGTATCAACCAATAGCAGAATTTAGCAGTAAATATCACGCGAGTTCCAAGCGAGTCAAGAATATTAGAACATCCATCGTATCTTTGGTATCGATTCTCACGATCCATAGCAAAGCAGATCGGCCAGTCTCGGACTGGGGGTCCACAGAAACTTCGAGCGAGCTTCTGAACGCACGCCCGATGTTTGCGTCAACAAAGTGACCCCTGCGTACGCACATATGGGAACCAGCAATCAGAACAAGTAATAGGACCAAAGAATGCGGTTCCCAACCGCTTAAACCGCATGTGAACACGGAACTTTCTAGTCGCCGTTTTTACCTCGACACCGCTGTTAACCAGAACGTTATCGGATGCCTGTTGCAACAGCGATAATAGGCCTGCCACTAGCGTTGACAGACAGGTGTTGTGGATCCACCTTGAAAGATCTAACGCGAGACCAAACGAATTATCCAGTGTGTACATAAAGGCTGACCGACATTCTCCTCTTCTACTACTCTTCTCACTCGAGATTTTTGTTCAATTCTATCGGACTGGGTCCACACGAGCACCAGGAACTCCATTGAAACCAACATGGGTAGAGGCGATTCGGTCAAAAGTGTCCCACAAGAACAACAGGAGACCATGGTCTCTTGTGCCAGTAGAGATGGATCGATAGCTAGGGAGCCGTATGGACCGACAGGTATGCTTCTCCACCAAACCACCCACAACGAATTTCGTGATAATAATAACTGACCCCACCCAGGATTTAGTGGTCTCTTTACCAATCCATATGTCGCCATGTGCGCAGCATTCGCCACCATTGGAGGCCTTCTCTTTGGATACGACCAGGGTGTCATCTCCGTGACGCTTGTCATGGACCAATTCCTCGGCCGCTTCCCTCGCGTTTCGGACGATGCTTCAGGCGCGGGATTCTGGAAGGGATTGATGACTGCTATGCTGGAACTTGGTGCCCTTATCGGTGCGCTGTTTGCCGGATGGATTGCAGATAAGCTATCCAGGAAATACTCCATTGTCGTCGCGGTCATTATCTTTACGATTGGAAGTATTTTGCAGACTGCGGCTATGGGTTATGCTATGTTGACGGTGGGACGACTGGTTGGAGGAATGGGTATTGGAGCGTAAGTTGAAACTCCACACTGAGATGCTGTTGCCCCTAGGGCGAGATCTAACTGGGTATAGACTTGCAACAATCGCTCCACTCTACATTTCGGAAATTGCTCCTCCAGAGATCCGTGGTGCCCTTCTCGTTTTGCAGGAGTTTAGCATCGTTCTCGGTATCGTAGTCGCCTTCTGGACAACGTATGGTACCCGCTACATGGCCGGAGAATGGGCATGGCGCCTTCCTTTCCTCATTCAAATGATTCCAGGTCTGATCTTGGGTGCTGGCATCGTTTTCCTTCCCTTCTCACCTCGCTGGCTAGCTAGCAAAGGCCGCGACGACGAAGCCCTCCAAGTCCTTGGAAAACTCCGCAAACTCCCGACCGATGACACTCGTGTGTTCCAAGAATGGTGTGAAATCCGTGCCGAGGTTGCTTTCAACCGCGAGGTTAACTTGGAAAGACATCCCGATTTGCAGGGAAATACACGTATGGATGAATTCAAACTCGAGATTCAATCGTGGCTCGATTGCTTCAGACACGGGTGTTGGAGGCGAACCGTTGTCGGCGTTGGCATCATGTTTTTCCAACAATTCGTCGGTATGTATAGTACCACACTCTACAAAAGACGTAACTGACGGAATACCAGGTATCAACGCTCTCATCTACTACTCGCCCTCTCTTTTCAAGACTCTTGGCCAAGACTACGAAATGCAGCTCCTTCTCTCCGGTATCATCAATTGCACCCAGCTCGTGGGTGTTGCGACAAGTCTATGGACCATGGATCGCTTTGGACGCCGATCTCTGCTCCTGAGTGGCGCTGCGCTCATGTTCATCTGCCATCTCATTATTGCTGTCCTGGTAGGAAAGTTTGGTGGCCGATGGGCTGATTACTCGACTGAAGGCTGGGTCGCCGTCGCCTTCCTCTTCTTCTACATGTTCAGTTTCGGTGCCACATGGGGTCCCGTACCATGGGCTATGCCGTCTGAAATCTTCCCTTCTTCACTCCGCGCAAAGGGTGTTGCCTTGTCGACATGCTCCAACTGGTTCAACAACTTTGTAATCGTAAGTAGCAACTTGCTCAGCGATACAAGGAACAAGACACTAACGCGCGTTTCAGGGTCTCATTACTCCACCTCTTGTCCAGAACACCGGCTACGGCGCCTACACTTTCTTCGCTGTCTTCTGTCTCCTCGCATTCATATTCACATTCTTCGTTATCCCGGAAACGTCTGGCAAGACGCTAGAGGAAATGGACCAAGTGTTCCACGATGTCAGTAGTGAGGCGGAAGAGCAGCAAAAAGCACGCATCATGCGCGAGATAGTTGAGGGCAAGAATCGTCATACATCTGCTCCAAATCCCTAGGGCATCCGATGATCACTTTCTAAACACAGTCAGCTATTATAAAGATAATAGTAATGTTAATTTTATTTTAAACATTTTTTCCAAGACATATGACGTATATTTCATCAATATCCGATGCTGGTTCCCATTGTCGCGATCTCATAAAGTTTCCATCAGTCGAGATGGCCTTCGGCCCATTTCACCGAAGGCCCTGTGCCGACTTCCCATACCCAAGAGATCCCGCACGCCAAATAAGACCAGTAATCATACGATTCCAATGCTTTGGTAACGTCAATACAGAGGGTCTGTGTGGGACCCGACAAGTGGCATACAAAAGAATACCTCACTACCCATAATGTTTGCGCGTGATTCTTTCGTGTGAGACGGCCATCTGCAATCTGATTGGTGGGTGTTCGCCGGGACGAATACCCGGCGATACGTGGCGCATTGCGAGAGACTTTTGGGAAGAATGCTCATCGGATTACGGCCAATGACATCAGAGGTCAGCGGTGCTATGTTCTGCCTTGGGTGTAGCAAGGGTGAATGGGTGGTAGCGCTAGCCATGAGGATTGTTGAGGATAGGTATGGGATACTGGTCATATGGTGAGATAATGGACATCGGGTTCAGGGTACTGTACTGCGTCACCTGAGTATTTGCTTTTTCCATCGACGAGGGTCTGCGCTTGATGTGTCAGGTTCCTTTTCTCAAAGATTAGTAGGAGCGACCATTGTTTGATGGCTTATGGCAAGGCGTGAGTTAAGTGCGGTTACATCCATCACAGAAAACTGCCCAACACGTTTCGGGAACGATGGACTGGGGTGTTTGATAAAAAAAAAATTCTATTGTTTCATTGGAGAACTGGCGGTTGAAGCACCAGACATGTCCCACTCGTTTCTGAGTGCATTGATCAGCCAGGCCGTTGGCCAGACGTGGTCTCTTTCAAAGTCGGCCAAGATCTCAATTATTTCTTTCCTCTGTTTCTCGCTTGATACAAGCGGGCCCCAGATAAAAACAGTGTGGCGGACTGTGATTGCTAGTGGTACTGCTTCTTTCGAGCTTTTGGCAGCTCCGCAAATGGCTTGTGCATGCGATAGGATTTGGTGCTATAGAAGTTAGCAATCAGTCTGGTACATGAAAGACGGAAAGATTTACATCTGTTTCAGATAGTCGATAGCCGTCATGAACTACCGAATCTGAGTGTGGCCTGAACCGGAGTAGCATGATGCAAGCAAAGTGGTAGTAACAGAATGAAACGGCTGATGAATTAGTATGCGCAGCGGTAAGAGAGGAGGCTTAAGTAATCTTACCATGCCAATCGGCTGTAAACCAGGTATTTGGAAACGAGCAGCTATCATCCACAGGACCTTGATAGATGGGATTGAAGCCGGCTGGCCTGTCCCGCATCCATGTGTGAACAAGCTCCCACAGCTCCTCCCACTGTTGCATCCTAGAACGCATATCGCCGTATACCTCGTTCCCATCATAGCAGAAGTTGACGACGCGCGCAAGGTTCCATGCCATTTGGTTGGACCAAGCCGTTTCCAACCTTAGCCGTGCCAGTGGATGTGCATCTCGCATTGAGCTGGGTGTTGGATGCAGCTGCAATGAGAAATCGATGTCGAGCGGTTGTTGGTTTATAGTAGCTTTGTGTATGCACTGCCGTACGTATACCCAGAAGGCAGCTTCGCGCAGAGTGGGTGCTGAAGGGTCTACGAAATGATGTCCTTGTGAGGAGCGGATGATGGCCGAGCAACCTGCAAGATGTTGTTCGTCTTCTAAGCCTACACTTGAGGGAACTAGATGTAAGAGTTAGCAAAGAAACGGCATATATCGAAGGTGTCGGGTAAGCTTACCGCTGAGCTGCTCATAGAAGTGTAGTATGACGATGGCACATAGAAGGGTCTCATCATGACTTGCAGCCTCCTCGTTCAGCCGCAAGATCAGGAGCGAGATGCAGCGCTGATAGGCCGCGTCTGCAACAGAGTCGTTTCGAGAGTGACGAGCAGCGAGTGCAATGACGGCGTGACGAAGGACGGAACAAAGGGTGATTTTTTCGGGTACTCCAAGAGTGAACTGATCGGTTGCGTCTGTACAGTCAAGCCAGCGGCCAATGTGTTCGGTATAATGATGGACCAAGAGGGCTTCTTCATGGGTCAGAGGAATGGGTTCTGCTGCATGGCCTGCGGTGCCTAGGGGGTGTTGGTCCATCTGGCTCTCCTGCGCCAGGAAGGTCTCCATCGGCACATGGCCCCTC